ACATGAACTTCTTGCATGAACTACTAATGACTGTTTGCATGAGCTACCAATGTATGGATCCTGGTTATTGTGCCCCGTGGTTCCCCAGTGCAGGCAGATACTGTGATGACCAGCTGGACTACCTTTATACCATCTGCAAGACTCACGTTTTTGTACTTAACATGCTGCTTTTATGTGCCTATTTGAGCTGCTTATAAAAATTGCTAATGACTAGCTAACAATTATTGTGCTTAGCTGGATCCCCAATATAGGCTGATACGTGAGTAGTGCAACTGCCTTTATCAGATGACATTTGTTACTAACAGTAGGCAGTGACTAGCAGTATTACCATATCTATGCTGGATTATGCAAATTATTAATAGGGATACCATCTTCTTGGAAATACATGGTCATCTACTGTATGTATTCACTGCAAACAAGGATTTAAAATTCCTGTTGTCTGGATTTCTAGAGTTCCAACTGTTGAGGTGCACCTCCCTAAAGTCTGATGGAATAAGAAATTGGAATGATGCTCCAGAAAAATGGTGAACAATGGGATAATATTCTGATTTCGATCCCACTGATGTAATTTATTGATTCTTGAAGACTGAAAATTATAAAAGAGATAGCATTTATAATCACAGTCAACCCTGAGGTACTGTAGCCATCACTTTGGTGGTTAATCTTGGATTTTTATGTTATTGGCTGGCATTCTAAAATATAGACCGAATGGGTTGCTAAGTATCTTTTTTTAGGGGAATTTCCAAAAGCAACTTATTGGACCATAGTGGCCGAAGACATTTTTCACTGGGACACAACTGTGGCATTGCCAGGACTATGATAGACCTGGGGCACCTCTAGGCAGCCTGAAGACAAGAATGATGTAGTACATGTAGTGAATAGTTGGTGTGGACTTACTGTGCTGACAGTCATAGAGTCATATATAAGTAGAACCTGAGCCTACATGCACACATGGCCCATAATCCTTATACCCACTAAAATACTTTAATTACTGTGCCAGTGAGTCCCACAGACACATATAAATCTTAAAGTTAACATTTATTTGCGCCTGACTTGAAGAAGCATGTCAATGAAATATTGGAGACTACTTTGCAATTGGGAACTGTTCAGGCAATGAACGCTATGGTCAAGAGTGTGCAATTACACTATAGTATATAGGGTGCAGGAGTCAGGAGTTTATTATGTACAGAGTGCAGTGGTCTGGAATATGTCATGTACAGCCCAGGGAACAGAGTGGTCATGGATATGTAATATACAGTTCAGAGTACAGAGTGCAGCGGCTATAAGTATGTATCTGTCACGTACCTGATAGAAGTCTGAATTGACGAGGTCAGCCTCTCTTGTATCTCCAACCCAGGCCCCACTGAAGGTGAAACAGATGGTGCTGAGGGACAGGAGGAACACGAGTGCCTGTGGATATTGATTGTGGAACTTGCGGCTGGTGATGGGCATCCCGTCAGGAATAGAGTTGATGCCGGGACGGCCAGCTGGGGTTAAAGATGCACTCCACTGGAACTGCAAGATCTGTGTACGTGGCTTGCTGGAACTTCTGATAAGCGTGAGGCCAGAACACACCGTGACAACCGGAGCTGATGTAAAAAAAGACAGGACAGGCACTCGGCAGGACTGTAGAGCCAAAACTGGAGCCAGAAGCGTAGTCAGAGTAATAGCCAGGGTCTGCAACGAGCAGGCGATGAAGTACTGAAACAACAGACAGGGACGTGGTCAGGAGGAAGCCAGGATCAGAAACCGATGAGCAGAAGCATAAACAGGATCCAAGAGCTGGTCAATGGCAAGCCGGGTCAGTAACTGATACACACAGGATACAGCAGGAAACAGGAAGTCAGCTGAAGACCAGTCAGCGCTGACAGAGAGCAAGAGCTTCCTTCAAATAGCCCGTCTGGCGCCAGAAACAGTGAGCACGCTCCCGCAATTGTGCACCCGTGTGTGCGCATTCTTGCACACATGCTTGAGCCTATGCTTATTTCTATTAGCCAGTTGCCGTACAGGAATTCCCTTACAGTATCATACAACAGTGAAAGGTAGGTTCCACACAGCACAGCTTACAGATTATAGTCAGGAGTATGTAATGTACACTGCTGCAATCTGTATGCTGTGTCATATGTTGCATACCCCCGAACACTACCCCTGCATAGCACCCTTTCAACTGTGCTGTACTTTACATATATCTGATTGCTGCATGTTGTGGTGTACATTGCACACTCCTGGTTGCTGCACTTTCGCCATACAAAGTGGTCAAGGTTATGTAATTTATAGCCCCCCTACCATACAGAGTACTTTGGTCAGGATTGAGTGACATACAGCCCAGCATACAGAGTGCAGGGTTCATTAATATGTAATGTACAAATATGTAATGTACAACCCATAGTAAGAGAGGTATTCAGGAGTACAGTTTAATACAACGGCTATTAAATTGTAACATATGACAGTAGGAGGTATGTAACGTATAACACAACATATGGAGTATAGTATTCTGAGTATGTAATGCACTAGGTACGTAACAAAATTTTGACTGCTGTACCCTGTATACAGTGTCATATATAACATACTCTTGAGCACTGAATTCTTTATACTTTGCTGTCAAACAGTAAATTTGCCTCCTCTTCCACAAGCAACCCAACCCCTAGCCCAAAGTAACCATTCATTAACCACTTCTGCATCCATCTTTCACTGTTTACCCCTGTGCCCCCTGTCCACAACTCAACCTTATGCCCTCTATCCACCACTAACCTTTGCGTTCTTATGTCCACAGCTCACTTCTGCAGCCTCCATCCATAACCCTGTGTCCCCCACCTACAGTTCACCTTTGCGTAGGGTCTGACAATGAGTCCAAGGATTTCATCCCGATACCTAATGGCAGTCAGGGTGCCATTGTCTAGCCTGTAGAGGTCTGTGTGTCCCTCCATGGATATGCCTTCCCAGACCATCTCTGGCCCACCACCAAAATGGTCATGCTGAATGATTTTACAGGCAGCATAAAGTTCTCCACGGCTTCTCCAGACCCTTTCACATCTGTCACATGTGCTCAGGGTGGACCTGCTCTCGCCTGTGAAAAGCACAGGGCACCAGTGGTGGACCTGCCAATTCTGGTATGCAATGGCAAATGCCAATTGAGCTCTATGGTGCCGGGCAGTGAGCACAGGGCCCAATAGAGGATGTAAGGCCCTCAGTCCATCCTCATGAAATCTGTTTTCTGATTGTTTTGTGCTCTCCTAAAGTCTGCCTGTCTTCTGGAATCAACTCCATGCTCTTGAGACTGTGCTGGGAGACACAGCAAACCTTCTTGCAATGGCATGTATTGATGTGTGATCCTGGAGTAGTTGAACTGTTTGTGCAACCTCTGTAGGGTCCAGGTTTCGCCTCATGCTACCAGTAGTGAGAGTGACCCTAGCCAAATGTAAAACTAGTAAAAAACAGTCAGAAAAGATGAGTAGGGGAAAAATGTCAGTGGCCTCCACCTGTAAAACCATTCCTCTTTTGAGGGTCGTCTCATTGTTGCCCATAGAGATGAGCGAATCGAACATGACGAAGTGGAATTCGTTTCAAAGATTAGGAAATATTCGATTCGCGCCGAATCCGAAAATTAGCAAACTTCGGATGCACGAATCGAATTTTCCCAAAAATGGCGGCGACATGTGTGGCGACGGAGCGGGGATCTCTGGGAAGGCGCGCAGACAAGGCGCGCTGACCCATAATGCATTCATTCATGACATGTGATCGCATTAGCCAATCAGCAGCCAGCCAGCCAGCACTGTGTAATGGTGGAGCTATAAATCGCGGCCATCTTAGAATTCTCCATTAGCCTCCGGTCATTCAAGAGAGACAGACCTCTGTGTATTAGGGACAGAGTTAGGGCCAAAGAGACTTTAGGGCCAAAGAATCGTTACTTAGGGACACAGAATCGTTACTTAGGGACACAGAATCGTTACTCAGGGACACAGAATTGTTACTCAGGGACACAGAATCGTTACTCAGGGACAGACACAGAATTGTTACTCAGGGACACAGAATTGTTACTCAGGGACACAGAATCGTTACTCAGGGACACAGAATCGTTACTCAGGGACACAGAATTGTTACTGAGGGACACAGATTCGTTACTGAGGGACACAGAATCGTTACTCAGGGACACAGAATCGTTACTCAGGGGACACAGAATCGTTACTCAGGGACACAGAATTGTTACTCAGGGACACAGAATTTAGTGTTTAGTGCGGCAGGAGGTATTGTAACTCCGCGGAGGACACGACTGTCCACCCAAAGTGTGGGAGAGACTCTTGTTTGTGAAAATGAATCAGGCGTGGATTAGTCTGGATTTCAAACCACCAGTTTCTGACACAACTGACTAAATCCGCCATGAATCATGCCCCAAACATGTTATTATTTTTAACATAGGCCTCTGTATGGCCTTCAATTTAAGCTGCTTACGCTTCGCCACTCTGCCATGGGCCCCTGTACCACCTCCTCTTGCTGCTGCCAGGTCCAGAGTGTGTCATGGGTCCCTGTACGGCCTTCCATTGCTGCTGTCTCCATCGCCACACTCTGCCATGTGCCACTTTCAGGTCTCCTCACACTGCTGGTGGGTTTTTCATTTTTGTCATAGGGTGCTGGCAGATTACGGGCCTCCCATTGCTGCTGCCAGGCCCGTAATCTGCCATGGGCCCCCGTACCGACTCCTCATGCTGCTGCCAGGCCCGTAATCTGTCATGGGCCCCTGTACCGCCTCCTCATGCTGCTGCCAGGTCCAGAGTGTGTCATGGGTCCCTGTACGGCCTCCCATTGCTGCTGTCTCCATCGCCACACTCTGCCATGTGCCACTTTCAGGTCTCCTCACACTGCTGGTGGGTTCCATTTTGTCATAGGGTGCTGTATGGCCTCCCATTGCTGCTGCCAGGCCCGTAATCTGCCATGGGCCCCCGTACCGACTCCTCATGCTGCTGCCAGGCCCGTAATCTGTCATGGGCCCCTGTACCGCCTCCTCATGCTGCTGCCAGGTCCAGAGTGTGTCATGGGTCCCTGTACGGCCTCCCATTGCTGCTGCCAGGCCCGTAATCTGCCATGGGCCCCCATACCGACTCCTCATGCTGCTGCCAGGCCCGTAATCTGTCATGGGCCCCTGTACCGCCTCCTCATGCTGCTGCCAGGTCCAGAGTGTGTCATGGGTCCCCTGTACGGCCTTCCATTGCTGCTGTCTCCATCACCACACTCTGCCATGTGCCACTTTCAGGTCTCCTCACACTGCTGGTGGGTTCCATTTTGTCATAGGGTGCTGTATGGCCTCCCATTGCTGCTGCCAGGCCCGTAATCTGCCATGGGCCCCCGTACCGACTCCTCATGCTGCTGCCAGGCCCGTAATCTGTCATGGGCCCCTGTACCGCCTCCTCATTCTGCTGCCAGGTCCAGAGTGTGTCATGGGTCCCTGTACGGCCTCCCATTGCTGCTGTCTCCATCGCCACACTCTGCCATGTGCCACTTTCAGGTCTCCTCACACTGCTGGTGGGTTCCATTTGTCATAGGGTGCTGGCAGATTACGGGCCTCCCATTGCTGCTGCCAGGCCCGTAATCTGCCATAGGCCCCCGTACCGACTCCTCATGCTGCTGCCAGGCCCGTAATCTGTCACTGGGGCCCCTGGTACCGCCTCCTCATGCTGCTGCCAGGTCCAGAGTGTGTCATGGGTCCCTGTACGGCCTCCCATTGCTGCTGCCAGGCCCGTAATCTGCAATGGGCCCCCGTACCAACTCCCCATGCTGCTGCCAGGCCCGTAATCTGTCATGGGCCCCTGTACCGCCTCCTCATGCTGTTGCCAGGGTCCAGTAGTGTGTCATGGGTCCCTGTACGGCCTCCATTGCTGCTGTCTCCATCGCCACACTCTGCCATGTGCCACTTTCAGGTCTCCTCACACTGCTGGTGGGTTCCATTTTGTCACTAGGGTGCTGTATGGCCTCCCATTGCTGCTGCCAGGCCCGTAATCTGCCAACTTGGGCCCCCGTACCGACTCCTCATGCTGCTGCCAGGACCGTAATCTGTCATGGGCCCCTGTACCGCCCTCCTCAGCTGCTGCCAGGTCCAGAGTGTGTCATGGGTCCCTGTACGGCCTCCCATTGCTGCTGTTCCATCGCCACACTCTGCCATGTGCCACTTTCAGGTCTCCTCACACTGCTGGTGGGTTCCATTTTTTCATAGGGTGCTGTATGGCCTCCCATTGCTGCTGCCTCCACCGCCACACTGTGGCTCCACACTCTGGTTTTGGCCCCGTGACTGCCCAAAATGAGTGAAGTGTGCGGGTGATTCTAAGATCGACGGCACTCATCTGCATGTCATACTGACTGACAGTATTATTTCTCTTCCCAGCAGACTCCAAGGGCATTTAAATTAAAGGTACAGTGTTCTGCACTAATATAAAGGCTCTCTGAAGCCTAGAAAACACCCTTTTTATTAGTTAAATTTCGCAGCGAATATATTCGACTCGAATCGAATTAATTCCGCGAATTCGGCCGAATCAGCCGAATCGAATTTTTGAATAATTTGCTCATCTCTAGTTGCCCATCTAGTACACTTGTAATTTCATTAACACCAAAGCAGCTGAAACTGATTAAACAACCCCCTCAGCAACTTAACTGACCAGATCAATATCCCAGGAGTTTAATTGACTTGACTTATACTCTGATTAAAAAATGTTCCTTTAATTTTTCTGAACACAGTATATATATATATATATATATATATATAGTATATATACACATACCACCCAGTTGTGTTCAAGAATAATAGCAGTGCCCCCCTGTTGAAAAAAGTGAAAATAAAGCTCAAAAAAACCATTCTAAGGCTTTTTATTTCCGCATACCACACAAATGCATTGGGAGAAACACTACACATTCTATTCCAAATCAAAACATGAAGAAAATATATATCAAATTTGTGTTGTTCCTCTAAAAAAAATTTAAAAGTGAATATTAGACTGTTCAAAAAAATAGCAGTGTTTGTATTCTTTACAAACTCAAACATTCACTATATAAACTGTAAAAATTTTAAAGATTTTGCTTTCCTTTGAAAATCACTTAATTAATATTTAGTTGTATAAGCACTGTTTCTGCAGAACTGCTGTACAATCTGTGTTGCATGGAGTCAACCAAAGGACTTCTGGCACCTGTGAACAGGTATTCCAGCCAGTAGTTACATGCTTAGACAGTAGTTCTGGGGGCGGATGCTAACCATGGCGGCAGAGGAGAGCCCTAATTTCGATGTAGGAGCTCTCGGACAAGCTCCTTCACCCGACCTCCCCAAACCCCTACCTGTAATGTGGAAGCTGCAGCACAGTGGTCCCCCTTGGATAGATGAAGGAGCTCTGCGGGAGAACTGACCCGAGAGAACGGGATTTGGCTGCGGTGCTCGAGGTGAAGGTGTGTCTGGCTGCGGGGGAGACAAGGAGGAGCGGTGTAGCCACGTGGACAGCCGCTAAGCATCGCTGGGAAAACCAGGAAGGCCCGGGCCGGTGTGTTTGGTGCGGAGAAGAGAGGAGCTGCCCTGCTTACGGGCTCACTCCCATGGAGCACGGTTGCCAATCCAACACACGGACCTCTGTTTGCCGGCTGATGGTCTGGTGCCCTGCTGGTTAGCTCACTGCTCGGAGCTCTGCATGTTTAAAACCCAGTGCTCGGAGCCCTGATAGCCGGGTCCCTACCCGGAGCTCTGTCTGCCGGCTTATTAGCTGAGACCCTGACTGTTGGTAAAATTACTGGGAGTCATACTTGTCAGTCCACTGTTTGGGGCCCTGCTGGCTGGCCCACTGCTCGGAGCCCTGCTTGTGAAGGAGGAGAGGCACTGGGGATTGGAGAGAGGAAGGCGGAGGATACCCTGGGGAGCCCCCTAAAATGAACACACTGCCCAGCTGAAGGACAGATAAAGAGAGCTGCTGGCCGGGTCCCCGAGAGGAAGAGAGACACGGGGAGGGGTGAGTGACTCTGACCGAGTCTTGATAAATATCGTGCTTCTTGTGGGCTGTTGGGAGAGGCAGTGTGTGAGAGAAGAGAGGGGACCCCCTTGAGTGGGGAATGTAAAGGAGTGGAAAGGAGAAGAGGAAAGACGAAGAAAAGTTTGAAAATCAAATGAGTGGATAAGGTGTGACGTGTATATTAATTGCTATCTCTCCTTAACCCCTGAGCCTATAAAGAAGAATAAAGAGCCTAAGAAGAATGAAAAATAAAAACGCAAAAGGAAGTGGGCTTAAAGGGGGCTCAGACCGGTACTATCAAAAAAATACACCTCCCAGGGAAATATAACCCAGAAAGGTCTCAGGGTAAATGTGGAAAAAGGTGAAGTAGATCTAAGCCTGGAAAGTAGCCCTAGACTATCACTAGGCCCCTTGACATTAGTAGCCAACAATTATCGGCTAATATTAGAGATGGAGACAGAGCTACAAATACCAAACAAAAAAGAAAATGGCAGAAATGTTCAAAGAACTGGAGAAAACAATAAAACAAGAAATTGTAAATATTCGAAATGATCTGGGACACCTTTTGGTGAGAGTGGAAGAAACGGGAGGAAAAAAGTTAAAGATCAGTCCCAAATTATCTCTGAATTGGAAAAAGGAAATAATTAATATGGGGAAAAGCCCATGTAAGAAAAAACTGCCTCTATAAAGCTGAGACACAAGAAAATAGGAACAGGAGGAGAAATATTAGGTTAACGCGGGGTCCCAGAGAATTCAAAAGGAGAAAATTTGCAAGAGGTGGTCTGTAAAATACTAAACTCCATAATGGACAGTACTGATATGGAAAAGATTAAAATAGAAGGAATTTTTAGACAAGGAAAAAAAAAAAAAGGAAAAACTCCAAGGAAATTCGGGAAAAGGAAAGGCCAAGAGATATACTTGTTAAATTTTGTGAGTTCCTAGATAAAGATAAAATTTGAAGAGGATTAAGGGAAAAATCAGTAATTATGTATGAAGGAAAGGAACTTACAGATATATGCGGGATTTGTCACCAGGAGACTCTATGGAGAAGGAGAACCCTTAGACCTCTATTGGAAAGATTGAAAGAACAGAATGTGCAATATAGATGGGGGACCCCTGAGTGCCTAAATAGGATGGAGAAATGGAATTACAGCATATCTTAGGTTCCCAGAAGATTTGAAAAATTTTTGCGATAGATTTAAACTATACAAAGAATGGAGATTCCTGGTTGGGGAGAAGAACACTGGGAAATTAGAACGAAAAGAAAAGAGGACTTGGCAATTTGTTGGAGGGAAGAGGCGGGGGGAGGGGGGGAGGGGGGGGGGGGGGGGAGAGGGAGAGAGATAGCCCTTTTTTTTTTTTATCTCTCTCTCTCTTACCTCCTGTCTTTCTCCCGCCTTGTCCCTACCGTCCTCAAATCACTGTTATTGAGATATTTTGGTAGGACTTAGGGGGGTTAAAGAGGAGGTAGGGGAGGACGAAAAGCTGTCCATGGGGTGGAGTTTTTGCCCTATAGATTAAATCAAAAGGGGATAGTATTACCACATATGATTGGTAGGCAAATAATAGGCCTAAAAAGGGGGGGGGGAGGGGGGGGTTGGGAAAATGGGAGGGATTTCCCCTTTTCTTATTAGAAAAGGGATATTGCTCAGAAAATAGGTGAGGAGATCGAACGTTTCTTCAAGGAGAATGAGACAGGGGAGGTATCAAAGGCCACAGAGTGGGAATCTCATAAAGCATACATAAGAGGGAGTATTGATAGCGATTGGGGCAAAAAAGAAAAAAGAAAGAAGAGAAAAAATGAGTGGACTACTAGAAGAATTAAGTAAATTTAGAACAAATACATAAGAACAGAATAACAAAAGAAATAGAGTTGAGGATAAAAAAAAAGAAAGAAGAGTTAGAGGATGTAATGGAAGAGGAGAGGAGAAGAGTATATAACAGGGTCTTAAGTGAGAGATATAGATGGGGGGAAAGACCTGGAAAATATTTGATGAGAGCTCTGAGGAAAAAGAAAAATAGGAATTATATAGAAAAAATAAAAAATGCGAAGGGTGACTTGGTCCACTCAAATAGAGAAATCATCAAAGTATTCAGGGAATACTATAGGAAATTATATAATATTAGCCCCCCGGAAGGATTAAAAAATTCAGAAAGTGAGAAGGATCAAAAAAGAAAGAAAATATCTGGAGATGGCTGGGTTATTAAAATTAAAGGAAGAAACAATTGGAACTCCCTAGATGCAGAAATCACACAGGAAGAAATAAAATAGCTTTAAAAAATACAGTATCGGGGGAAAAGTCCAGGACCAGATGGTTATACAGTGAGATATTATAAAAAATATAGTGAAATATTAGTACCAAAACTTAGAAACTATATGAATGCTTTAGGTGGAGAGATGGAGATGAGGAGAGAGTCCTTGCAGGCTTATGTGGTGCTTATTCAAAAGGAAGGAAAAGATGTTCTCAGTGCTTGAGCTATAGACATGTTTCATTATTGAATATTGATACAAAGTTATACGCGAAGGTCCTAGCAAATAGACTGAAGGAATTAATGCCTGAATGGATACATGAGAGGATCAGGTGGGCTTTGTCCCAGG